ATGAAGGAAGGAAAGGTTAATTTAGCTCACAGTTATTGGAGGTTTCAGTCCATACTCACTTGGCTCCAAGGTAGAGTGGCACAAGGCAGAGAGCATCAGTTCACGGTGGCATCAAAGAGCAAGAGGATTGAAAGGAGGAGCAGCAGCAACAATGGCAAAGGAGAGAGTCTGTCTTTCTTATGTTACATTCAGGCTATCTTCTCAGAATGGATATAGCACTCACACCCATAATCCCAGCAGTACTAATACCCATAATCCCAGTAGATCAAGAGTTACTCTCAAACTGTAGAAGTCCCTGCCCCATGACTGTATGAGGTTCTTGGGGGACAACTAGAAATAAACCACAACATTCTGCCGCTTGATCCCCAAAGTCTCATGCACATCCCTTTATGCAAAAGGCATTTTAGTATATCTCTAATATTTGCCAAAGTTCACTTTCAGCATTTTTGAGAAGTCCAATTCCCAAGTCTCCTCCAAGATCCAAGGCAAACTCTTAACTGTGAGCCCTTGTACAAATGAAAAGTTAAAAACTTCTAACATTCAATGCATAAGATAAACATTACCATTCCAAAAAGTGCATACAGCAGGATACCAAGCATTGGGACCAACACAAGTCCAAAATTCAGCGGGGAAAATATTAAATCCTGTAGGTCCTATGAAAGATCCAAAGAAATCTGCGGAAAATCATGATCTCTGTGTGGCTCAACCCCATGCACTCTTGGTGGTAGCTCCCATGGCTTCTTCTTAGACTGGTTTTGCTCCATCCTTAGAGTTTCCCTTAGATGATCCATGCTCCTGGCTTTTTCAAACTTCTTAGGTTTCCACTAAACAGGCTTCTCACTCATAGCTTTACATATTTCTCTCTCAGGGGCACACTTCTGGGCCTCCCAGGCCTTCTTCTGAAATTGAGGTAGAAGCCTTCTTATCCTCAGAACCCCAGCATTGTGCATGCACCTAAAACTAATGCCATGTGGATGTCAAGGTCTGCTCCCAGCTGGAGCAGTAGCCTAGCTTTCTTCTGTCTTGACTGGAGGGGTCAAGTACCCGGATTGAAGAACACTCTTATCCTGATTCTGAGGAACAAATTCTGCATGCTGGCACCATTTTGGACCCTGATGTGGCCTCTGCCACCATTCTGGAACATGGGTTCTGCATCTTTCTCCTCAAGGTAAAGTCTCTCTCTTTTGTAATTTTGACACTGCAAAGGGTGGACCTGATGCCTTCAGTGATGCCCTCAGGCCATCCTTTCAATTCTCTGGTTCCTTCTTAACAGTGGAGATCTTCTCAGCTCTGTCTTTACAGTCCAGTGTTCCTGGTGCTTCCTTTCTGGCTAAACTCACAACATTTTAAATCATCCTGCTGCACTATTTGCTCTTTATTCTCAACATAAATCTGGCTAAAAGCCCCCAGTAACAGTCATGCTACCACCCCAATATTTGGCTGCTTTCAAATATATTTTGAAAGATCAATCAGTCTGCCATGCTTAATATCAGTCTCAGGCAGCCTCTGGACACGAGCCTAATTCAGACAGACTTTGGGTCAAGCCATAGCACAAATCATCTGGAGTCCAACAATCAACACAGTCCTTCTTCCCTTAAGAAACTTCCCCAGCCTGGTCTTTACAGGCAGGATTCCTTTCAGCATACTGGGCTCTGACTAGAATCATCCAAATAGAACACCAAAGTTGTTCCAGCTTTTTCAAAGTAGATAACCTCTCCAAACCTTTCTCATCTCTTCATATAATCCATTCCCCAAAACTCATATTCCACATGGTCATGTTTAGCCACAAATATGACCCCACTCCTGAGGTACCAAATAGTGTCTCAATTTCTCTTCAAGTCTTCTTGTGGGACAAATATCCAACAATCAAAATGAAGGAAGCAAAGATTTATTCAGCTCACAGTTATTGGAGGTTTCATTCCATACTTGGCTATCTTCAAGGCATAGTGGAACAGGGCAGAGAGCATCAGTTCGCGGTGGTAGCAAAGAGCAAGAGGAATGAAAGGAGGAGCAGCAGCAACAACTGCAACAGAGAGAGCCTGTCTCTCATATGTTACATTCACACTAACCCCCTCAGTCTGGATATAGCACTAACACCCATAATCTCAGCAGTACTAAGAACCATAATCCCAGTAGATCAGAAATTAATCTCAAACTGTAGATGTCCCTGCCCCATGACTGAATAAGGCTCTGGGGGAACAACTTGAATCAAACCATAACACTTATTTCAGACATTCTTTTAAGGATACTAAACTTAGTCTTCTCCCATCCCCATAGATCTGTGGAAGTGTTATGATAGACTCTGCAAATAACATAGACCTCACCATTAGGCTACAGACTGAAAAGCACTGGAAAGAATTTGTCCATGAAAATTTGAGAAGAATATGAAGTATCTTCTATTGTGATATTCTTTGGCTCCAGTGTAAACTAGGAAATGTTTGGTAATGGGTACATGATATAGGTCTAAATTATAATACTAATTTTCAGATAAATATTTTCTGTAAAAGGCAAGGAAAGCCACCCAAAATCACGTATGTTCTAATTTAATGGTTCTTTAAGTGAAATCTTCACTCTGCAAAAGCCCAAGAGATGTTTTACCTAAAGAAGCACTTCCATAAAGTAGAGGGATATTAGTGATGATATCCCCATCAGATGCACACCTTCACAGAGGGGAATATGTGTAACCTCAACATGTTTAATCAAATAAACCATTGTAGGAGGTGAACTAAATTGCCTTCTTATAATTCTCAGAGCATAAAACAGTTGAAGTCCTGCATCAACTGACTCAGTAATTCCATCAGCAGGTAGCTCCCCAGAGAGAACCAGTGCATTTTGTGTCACATTTTATGTTCCTCAGACAAGATTGACAGAAAAAGCTACAGTACAGAATTCTTTTTAGTATTCCAACTAAATGACACCATTCTCATAGCAGAAAAGTAGAAGTGACTGTTCAAATCCTGGTTCATTTTTCATGGCAGATATCAAACAATGCAAAAAGAAGATTGAGGCAATGTTCAGATTCCAGTAACTTTGCTGATGGTTTTCACACTTTGACCCTGATTTTGAAATTTCAGGGAGAGCTGTCCAATTTGTCCTGGTCATTTATTATTACCCAAAAGAAAATAAAAAGCTCAGAATAGCTTAAGAGGCATGCAAGTAGACAATGCAGAAAATCAAGACAATCTTCCCAATGTGAACAGAGTGAAACTACAAATATAATATCAGGTATTTAGTAAATATGTGGTCTAAAATGATGATTGTACTTTTCATAACAGTAAAAGAAACATTAAGAAACCCGTTACATGGTTGGCAAGACAGGTAAGTGGACTAAGCTTCTGCTTAGGAAAGTGCAAAGACCCTGTTTCTTCACAGGTACAGCATGTTCCGCCAGCCCACCCCTGAGTATGCTAAGCCAGCTAACTAGTCTGAGAGTGATGGTGTATGCCTGCAATCCCAGTGCTGGAAAGGATGAAAACAGAAGGATCACTATGAATCCTAACTGCATAGTGAGACAATGTAAGAAATGCATTAAAAATAAAAACATATTAATTATTAAAAGATGATTGTGCAAGACAAAGAGGAAATTCCATTTGTCATTAACAAATGATTAGCAGAATCATTCTACAAACCCACAAGTTTAAATTTAACATCCAAGAAATAACATGCATGAATGAGATAGCATTTCATTAATCAGCTTGATAATCAATGCAAATTACAAAATCTTTAGCTGATCTCCTAGATTCATTTGTTGGAATCTCCTAAATTCATTCTGTGTTCCACAATAAGGACCTGGAGGAAAATAAACAGAAAAGAAAACAAAGAACAACAACAACAAAATCCCCAAACAAAAATTAAAATCCAAAATTACAGCTATAGCAACTGACAGTGCTGTAAGCAAATGTAAGTCATTCAAAGGAAAATTCCAGGGTCTACCAAAAATGTTTCTGTTTTAAATGCAAGATAACTGAACACTGGTCATTCTCTATTTTCTGCTACAGGTTTATAGAAGCTGATGTCACTGATTCATGGCACTGGATGAATAAATTCCTCCACTCCCAGAGAAGAGTTTTCAAGAAAAAAAATATCCTCAATTATTGCTTTGAACAAGAGGACTAAGTGGGTGTTATGTTTTGCATCTAGGTGCCCCCCCCCAAAGCCTCATGCAGTCTTGGGGCAGCCTCTGGAGTGTGTGGTTGATTATTGTGGGTGTGGGTGCTGAACTTGCCCTGTGGCAGGTAATTTGCATTACAAGGTAAGGTGGGAAAAGAAGCTAGCTGCTTGAGCTGCTGCTTCCCCTCCCTTGTGCTCTTGCTCTTTGCCACCACAATGAAAGGTTGCT